AGACCATTCGCCTGAGTGGTAACTTTTATGAGTTGAACTTTCAAAAATTTTGAAAACTCGCTAGTCATGAAACAAGTACCCCGAATTAACACATCGTTTTTTTTTTTTTTGACTAGTAGTAGGTAGTATATTCATACACTAATTAATAAATACTAGGATATGCCTTTAGAGTGTCCTAGAGCCATGAAACCAAAAAGGTCAAGATGTATCAGCTCCATGATAACAGTAATTTTAAATAAAGTACAACTTCTTCCACTTTGTCAAAGTGTTTAACATGACCCTCGCAATTCGTTTTCATCCATATTCCAGAAATCAGAGGGAGATTGAAAATCCAGCTTGGCTATTGGCGTAATCAAAGAGGTTAAATCGTGCCTCCAAATCCTCGCCCAGATATAATAAGGTGTCTGCCCTATAGCAAGACCCTAGAGTGTTAGGATGAAACACGTTGACTTCAGTATCGAATGTTTTATTTAGGTTTCAAAGAAAGTTTATGGTAGCTAAAGGCTAACATAGACTCAGAGGGAGATCGTACTCATACATATATAGTTGCATTAAAGTATAAGTGCGCGTGCAGCTATGTACTTCTTATACAGAGTGCTCCCAGGCAATCTCCCGTGGGAAGCATGGTCAGCGCTTATGCCGTAAGGCGGCATAAGACGGTGACCGTCCAGTGGCTGATCATATTTCACTGTGTCGTGTCACTAATTGCGCTTATGTTTTGATTATATCCATTGTTGTCAATGGCAATGGTTCGTAACAAAGTGTTACAACGCGCATGTATGAATACACTACAACAGCAAGAGCGTCTCCAGAATGAATGATGGACGTTTCAGTCGCCATTAACAGGGAAATAGCAACTTAAAGAGCCTAGAGTATTCTCCAAAAGTCCCGCAGGGAAGTAGATACCAGCAAAGGCGACACTACCAATTCTAGTGGCGATGGATTCAGCAACTGCCCATAAATGAGGATAAGTCACGGTGACAGAAAGTGGGAAAAGTTGCCGCAGGAAAGGAAGAGCGGCTGTTGAAGTGATTTTCCGGCAATTGAAGCATGTTAATATCGCGGTCACTGCAGCATCTCGAAGGTGGATATCATTGTGGATTTCGTCTGTTCAAAACGCGATGGCAACTTATCAGTCGAAGCCGCTTGCTTTGATGCGCTGGCTTCCTTATGTCGCTGCAGCTCGCCGGAGGCGAAGGCAAACATCTAAAAGCAGAATTCTTCTTAAGGGCTTCAAGGTTAGGGTGGCGGCTCGAGCTTATCTTTTTCGGCGGTAGTACCGGCAAATTAGAGGCCATCCAGGGAACTTGAATTGCCTGCAAAGTATTAAGAGCAAGAGCATAAGGGAAAACTGACTTCCTTTGTAGTTAACGGCTTTCAGTAGAGTTAACTTCATTGAGTCTCGGAACAGCCTATAGATAGGCATGACAGCGTCGGTAAGCCGCACTGTGATTGGAACCACAGTTGATGCACACGTACTGTTCCTCAGGTGTTGCTTGACACTTTTATCCCTATCATATGTCTCGTGATCACCTGCATATTTGGCACTTAAAAGTGGCAAGCTAAATTTCACGGAGTGACCAACCTCTTGACAGCGGGAACATATCGAGGTACCAGATCGAGGAGGGGGCCACAAATACGACCTGATAGGCCAACGCTTTAATGTCACAGATTTCTATTGGTTGCAGCCTGTTGCTAAATATTGTGAGTTCGGGAGTTCGGGGTGGATATAGTTGATAGCAGTTACGTCCGGGGGCCCACAAACTTCACCGTCAACGTCAAGTAATGCCAATAGTAGGGGATTCTTATTGGAAACCTCTTTACCTGCCCGATGCAGAGACTTGAAGTGTTCCAGGACAGGGCCAAGAAGTGCTTCGGTGTCCTCGATGCCATCTTGTTCAGAAGGATGAAAACAGGTCCATCCAAATTTTGACTAAACAGCTTCGGCCTTAACATGTTGCCTTGGGCTGGCATGCTAGTTCCCAATGCACTGTGGCAGACGTGTATTGGGGACTAGCATCAACATCTATACCGGCATCACCTGGCAGCAAAGGGGAAGCAGCAGCAGGAACACGTACCGTGAGCTTATTGCATACAGTGGAAACGTCGGCCAGTAAACATTGAACGCCAGAGTTGTGTCCATTTTGGAGGCAAGGATCGTAACATTCTTGGAAGCTTTGCCAATATTGCCAGGCAGTCGACAAATCTCTAGGCGCTTGACGTACGACAAGCCTGAAGGAGTAAAGCCACAAGAAACATTGTTCTTCACTCTGCTCTCTTCATTTGATGCCATCTACCTAAATATTAAACTTTCCTTTGTGAAAACTCACATTTGTCTAATCTAAGTTTCATTTCATTTCAATCCTTGTCAACCTATTAAGGACTTGTTAAATTAAATGTTTGACTTCTTGGGTTGCAATTGTAATATCGTCGAGTAGACTATGACCTGCTGATCTGTAATCTTATCATTGACTTATCAGGCATGATTGACAACTCAAATTTTTTTTCATAACTTGAAAATAAAGTATTTTTTATATGCAGTTGAACCTTAATTTTCCCTGATGTTCGTGCACATTAAAATTCAAAATGTTATATTTATTCATTTTTAAAGAGAAGATGAATTAGATTCTATAAACATGATTATTTCATAACATTTATTTAAAAAATTCGTTTAGTATTAGTAGAGTGCCTGGTTTCTTTTATACCTCTGTTAACAGAGATTTAACAATATTAAAAGAGGCAAGCATCCTTGATATTCCCGTTTAATAGGATTCGGAAAATTGCTTTTATCACGCCGTTGCCAATTTATCATTGTAATTCACCAACATAGTTACGTAGACATGACTTGCGCTCTTCAAGCGTTTGCCGCAACATAACAATTTTTTCTCTAGGTGCAAAATCCTTGCTCATGGCGGACAAAACATTAATCAATATAACTTGCATTTATGTAACCAATTGCATAATTTGTTTTGGCATAAATTATATGCTGTTGCATTCACATGAGCGATGCGTTAACATGCGTTAAATTTCCTATCCATGAATATCTTTAGAAGCAACCCAGATGTGAGTTTGATGCGGAAAAGTCTAAGCAGAAACTTCATCGATGTGAATCTGTAGAGGAGCAATAAGAAACACAGGACAATTGCGTTGGCCTTGGTTCTCTTTTTAATTTTACTAAATAGATGATGAATCGCATTCACAGTCTACTTGCCTTTGTGGTCTGTATTATTTAGATTGAACCAATGGCTTGTTTGTCTTTTTGTTTTTTTAGGATAAAGACCACGTTTACTCTCCACCAAGAATGTGGAATGCAGCCCAAAACAATATATATGCTGCCGCCAAAAGAAAAAGTTAGGGGAAAGTATTAATTGCTTCCATTGAGAGGGATGGCAGTGCGAGGCGCACCGGTCATATTACCACTTACTTACACCGCAACCGAAAAACAAAATATGTATAGATATAAATATGCCCATCATATGAGAGGTGCATATACTTATAGAAATAATACTAGAATACCATGCTCCATATATATGTGACATATCCTATAAGCATTGGAGTATATATACACATAACAAGTAAGAGGTTCTAGCCGGGAGCTCCATTATTCCAACACCAAATGCAGCTCGCGCTACGCGCTCGTTTAATTTAGGAGTAATAAAGATAATTTAAAAAAAAGTTCCATTGGCTGGGTTCGAACTTGCAACTGACCGCATTACTTGCCGCCGCCTCTACTCAACATCTACACCAGCCAAACAATAAAAAAATAGTTTCCTCGGTAGGGTTCGAGCTCGAAACAGACCGCACTACTTGTCGCCACCTCTACCCAACAGCCACACCAACTATTGAGTCTTAACGAGAAAAATAGTAGCACAGAAAACAAAACAATCGCAATTGTAATGCTGTTGATAGAATTAAAAGCGGACGCACATGAATGTGCGTGTGTACATGTATTGCTCTGGCTGCCGCAAACACGTGAGCAGCCGAAACACCTTTTCGTTTGTGTTCAGCATTATTTCTTATTGTACTATAAAATATTAGTGTATTCTCAAAATGACAATTGCATTTTAATTGTGGTTGATATTGGTGGGCAGCATCATTTGTTTTATTAACTTGATTTATAGCTATGTAGTGGTGGGGAGGTGCTGATTGATATAAAATGAGAGATACGATATATATATATACCAGAAGCTACATGTCAATTTTGGAGACTCTAGCTGTTATTATTTACCAAAATTGCTCAAAAAACAGGATTTCAATATCGCTTTTTATCGATTACTTGGAAACGGGGCAAGTTATCGAATATCGGAAATATGGATCTACGCGTGCACTAGGAGGACCTACAGCTAAAATTTCATGTCTGTAGCTCTTATAGGTTCTGAGATCCTTGCTTTCACACATACGGACAGACGGACGGACGAACAGACAGACGGACATGGCTAAATCGACTCGGCTGTTGATGCTGATCAAAAATGTATATACTTTATAAGGTCGGAGATGCTTCCTTCTGCCTCTTACATACATTTGCACAAACACATTATACCCTTTTCCCCATTTTTAATGAGTTCAGAGTATAAAAAGTATAGGTAAAGAAATCATATTAGTATGGTAAAATATTCTGTGTTTTAGGATATTTGCACCAAACTCAGTCTGTAGAAGCTTAAAAATTCGCCTCAAATACTTGCAGAACCGTGTGCCATATGTCTACAAGGATATTCAATCTTGATAGCTTCGTCAATAACTGGACACTGTCTAGGGAGCCACAACCTGCCAGAGTCATAGTATTTGATATGACTATACGAACAAGGAGTATTAAGTTAATTTTTGTGCGTAGATTTTCTTTATTATATATTTTAAGATTTCAAGTTTTAACAAATGATATAATTTTCAAAGAATATATTTACTTTATGGGGTCAAGTGTGACCCTATTCTTAGAGGGCAACCTCGCTAAGAGCAGTGTTATTTGCTATTATTTATTTTATAATACTTATTTTAATTTTTAGTACCTGCCGACGACATATGGCGCGGAGTAACAGCAGTAAGCAATGCTGGTAAGAAAAGAGGCCGCGGAAAGGGCACAGGAAGAAAAGTTGCAAAGGATCTCAATAAAGGGCAAACAATTGGACACGGAAAAAAAAGTTGCATTTGGCCAGGCCTAAATGCACCAATTCTACGTGGAAATGAACTTATTTATCAACAGAAACATTCTGAAAACATAGATAGAGAAAAAAATATAATTCATTTGCGTGACTCAATGGGTAATTTTAAGCTATCGAAATTAAATCCAATAGATCGCGGTTGGTCTGGAACGAAAATGCCAGGAAGAAGTATTGGTCCTCCAGATTCTGTGGGAGAAGAAACATTTAAATTATTTGATACGCGTGTATTGGAGAATAAGATTGTATTTATAATGAAAGGCAATATGGGAAGGAAGAGACGATACTCTGTTCTATCTGTCACTGGGAACAAAAATGGTTTGGCTGGATTTGCTTTAGCTAAAGCGCCTGAAGTTCGAACCGCTCTCCGAAAAGCGAAAAATCGTGCAGGACAGAAACTTATTAGTATTAATCTTTATGAAAATAGAACTATTAATCACGATTTTTATACTGCGTTTGGAAAAACAAAAATTTTTGTTTTTAAAAAACCCGAGGGGTACGGCTTAGTATGTCATAGGGCTATACAAACAATTTGTAAGGTTTTAGGAATACAGGATTTACATGCAAAAATTGAAGGTTCAACAAACCTTCAACACATAGTAAAAGCATTTTTCATCGGGCTTATGCGTCAAAAAACCTATTATGATATAGCTAAAGAAACAAATTTGCATATTGTTGAACGTCAAGTGGCAAAAAACGGATTCACGCAAATTAAAGCTAGTCCTTTCTTAAATATACAAACTTCGGAAAAGGATCGAATAATAGACTTTATGCAGTTTACTTTGGGAAATAAAATTGTGTTGCGAAAAAAAAAAATACCGCCTTATTATGTAAATTCTAAAGGTCATAACATATTTGAAAGTAAAACAGAACGGTTTAGAAATCAATCAAATGTACGTTTACACAAATTGGTTAATTCTTATATATAAGACAGTAAAATGTTTAGCAAAATATTGATATTACCATTTTCTTAAAAGCTAAATTTTTATGCAGATACAATTAAAATAAAAACAAATTCAAGTATTTGTGTATAGTCCCTATAAACTTTCAGGTAACCAGCGATGCTCTTACTTTCCTTATGTCAAGCAACAGCTTCCCGTGGAGCATGCATCGTAAAACGCCTGCAAATGACTCGATCGTTGATCGTGGCTACTGCATTCAGGTGACCCGGTTGGGAACAACATTGTGCGACTGTTCCAGAAACCAGCTGTTGGGCGTAAGTGGATGTAGAGAACTTCTTGCAGAAGCTCGTACCCACGGCTGTGTCTCATTCATGGCGAAGGTGCCCGCGCCACATTCGGCGACCATTGTATCTTTGTTAAAGACCAAAATGTGTCTACGACGCTGTAAGGGGAAGCCTTTATCTTTCTGGAAACTGTTTTGGCTTTAGGGTATTTAACCCAAAAGTTTAAAATGTCGTTATTTTGCAATGACTCAATATTAGCTACTTCAAAGATATATGCTAACGTTGATGACATTGTTCCTTGGTCACTTCTTCTACGTTGGCATCGTCCTGAGTAGCAGGGCTGATTATATTTATTTTTGATAATGTGATTGAAAAGATAATTCCATTTATTAAAGTTGTTTCATTCAAATGGTCTTATCTTTATTATTTGACCTTTTGCTGAAATGGTAAAAAGTTTTTTGATTCAACTTTCTGAAATAAATTACCATTCCGTTTTGAGCAGTTATATGGGGACCTGGACTGCCTTCACTTAATTAAGAATATGCCGGTTCTCCGTCTGTTCGGATTGTGGCAATAGTGTTAAGGTGTTGCCCTGACGGCAAATGGAAGATCGCCGTCACCTATTTTGATGAAATTGACATTTTAGCACTTTGAGAATAGTAAAGGTTCTGACCCGCGCTTGTGCTCGATTACATTGTTAATGTAGTCGATTTGTGCTTTCACTTGTTTTAGTATAATAGATCGAGGCCAAGGATGCCATCGAAATTGCTTAACTGTTGAAGAATAAAAAATAAGGATTTATTAGTGAATAGGTGGATAAGGCATTTCTGATCTATATTTGTGTGGCAATGGATTGATTTGACCTAGAATGGGACGTCCACTGGCATGAAGTGTGCCAGACCCGGCAATGGCTAAATACAATTTCTAGAAGCTTATGAGAACTCCAATTGTTTGCTTTGCTACTATACGTGAAATGTACAGAAGCGGGGACCTTCCCCTAAAAAATTACAGCTTTCGGAGACGGCTTGATTGTGTTAAGGTCGCTGAGAAGCAACCTTATAATAATGAGATTTAAGATGCAGCTGACCTCTGTAGCTGATACGGATAAGGCTGATTTTTATTATGCCTAGAGGAGTAGGTAGATTGAAAAAATTTTATTCGCGCTCTCATCTGCAAACTTAACCGAAGAAGGCAAAATAGATGTCTTACGTTATGAATTGAAAAAGTTAAAAAATTGCTTAGGATTATGTGAAAATTGGAGGCGACAACGGCGAAGGTAATCCTTCTAGCAAATGGAATTTTGAGAAGAAAAATTTGATCAGGCAACTGCATAAAGGGAGAAATCAGAGTGATTTCCCGATTTCTGAAACTTTTTATAACACCTCGAATTTCACATTTTTCAATCTCATTAATTCACTTAAGAACCAGTTGGCCTATCAGACCTCGCTGGATGATCAAGAGGAAGGCAGATATCAAAGAGCGAGTACAAGGTATATCATAAAATAGTTTAATGGCTACACCAATATCTGCACAATTGTACAGTTCGGAACCAGCCGACTTGCAGAATAATACCATTTACTTTATGAAAATCAGCCGTTCGGACACGTTCAGCTAATTTTGATTCCTTGATAGGCATTCGGGTTGGTAGTTCGATGACCATATCCAGAGTTGGATGAAAAGGGTCTTCAGGAAGTGTAAGCGGGTCAATCCTGTGCGCAACACTGTGGAACGAATCCAACGCGCAAATCAGATCAAGAGATCTATTTCTTGAATTGCGCACCCGGTTAACCCGCCGTAATGATATTTCATGTAGACCATCAATAAACTCGTTTGACGAAGAGGGCAACAGAAACTTTGAATCTAATGGCGATGACCCATCGACATCTGGGTGATTTAAGTCGCCAAGAAAGAAGGAGATAGATTTAACAGCGTTAAGATGGCTTTGATAAATGGACAAGTTAGATAGAGGGGGTATATATGAACATGAGATAAAAATACTGAAAATTCCAAATACAACTCTTACAGCAACCAACTCAATCTCTGAGATGGGAAGCTCAATGCGTTCCGACGAAAAAGCAGATTCAACATCTATGAGTGCTCCTTCTCCGATACGGGAAGCTCGATCACATCTGTAAGCGGTGTATTTGGAGGTAAAAATTGAAGAATCTGAGATGTGCGGCTTAAGCCAGGTCTCAGTAAAAGCGATAATTTGAAACTTAAAATAAAAAGAGAATCTAAGTTCAGGTTAACAAGTTTAGATGTAAGACCTCTAACATACTGATAGGCAAGCTGGAGAGAAGAATTTAGGTTTTTGACACAGCAACTAAAGTTGATGCGCCACTAGAAGCAGATGGTAATAAAATCGGAGTCCGATTTTTCTTTTTGGCCTTATATTCTTTGACTATTATGTGTTCCGGCTAAAACTCTGTACAACAAATGTTAGTAAATATTTCTGGTGGAACATTTATTTTAAATGATGAAATATCCTTTCATAGGCAAACTTAAAATTTTCAACCGTTACAATGGGGCTTGAATTTTTGCCTGAATTAAAGCTTTTACATGAACTAATGAGAACTGAGGGGCAAGCCTAGAAACAAAAATATGCCTCTTCGCTGAAAAACCCACTAGAGCCTTAAGCGCCACAGGTAAGACAGTGGGAACACTTTCAGCTGTGGTATCTAGAACAGCCGGAAGTCCGGACGACGCGCCTTCTAGCTGCTGCTGAAAATTTAATTGTTGCTGTCGCTCTTTCGGAACTTCTACGACAGAGGACGACACGGATAATTCAACTGGATTTTCCCGTGCCGATGTCACACATTTCGGGACAGAACCAATGTCCACAGCAGATCTTAGAGCTACCGAGGACGACATGGATAATTCAACTGGATTTTCCCGTGCCGATGTCACACATTTCGGGACAGAACCAATGTCCGAAGCAGACCTTAGAGCTACCGGAGTAACAAAAGAGATGAGCTCATCAAGCGTTTGCTGCAACATAATTATTCTTTCCCTAGGCGCAAAATCCCTGCTCATGGCGGACAAAACATTAATCAATATAATTTATATTCATTGTAACCAATCTTTTTTTGAGTTTGCCCAGCACCAAACTGCGTAATTGTTTTTAGCTCAAATTATATGTCGTTGCCAACGCAAAACATTGAAGAAACTCTTTCAAATCATTAGAGAGTTTTCTTAGGCATTGTCATTTTTTGTATACCAGTATTATTTAAATCCTGAAATGTTTTTTCTTTGAGTGCGGCAATGCCATTTCTTTCCAAACAAGTTAGACTTATTTCCCTGTGAAGTTTCGTTTACAAAAGTTAACTGCTGACCCCATCCGCGGAATCAAAGACCACACAACGGCAGCATTTAAGACACCGTTGCATATGAGCTGACAAACCATAAACAGCAGTCAACATTGCGGAGGTCATCGACAGCCAGCGCAGCTATGGTAACCTAATGCCTTGCCCTGCCGGCAACTCTCAGCTAGGGTTTACGTTTTTGTAGTTACGTAATCCATCCAGCTGACTGAAATTTGTTATTGGCGTTCCTTGTACGCACAATGGTCAAATGTGTTGTTTGAAGTATGTCGTCCTTCCTACAACGCGTTCATTTTGCGTGAGTGAAAAGCCGTATATTGGGGAGATGGTACATCACTGTGGGGTGGTCCGCGAGATAGGCAGCAAGAAATCGTATGGTCTACTATAGTAGTTAGAGGATGTTTTATTTAAATAAGGCTTAATATCCTGCCCGATCTAGAAAGCCAATATCTGAAACAGTCTACAAATAACCGTTTTCGGGCTATTTTGGAAAGTGGAAAGCGCTCGTAGAGCTGCGGTGAAGTCCCAAGGCCTATCTTTCGATGCAAGCTTAAGTACCCATTGAAATTGAGATTTGGGTGTTGGGTAATAAACTACATAAATATGTAGTGATATACTCTGCTCTATTGCAAATTTCCTAACCATGAATATCTTTAGAGACAACCATGATCATGTGCCCCTGTCAGCAACCCATATGTGAGTTTGATGCGGAAAAGTCTGTAAACAGCAACTTCATCGATGTGAATGTGTTATTATCGATAGTAAAATTTATGAAAACTAACCACGCGAGGGCACAAGGACCTCTCCGTCGGTTGGGCACGGTTAAGGAGCCTGGGAAGTGTAACTGAAACAATAGCGCTTGCGTTTTCTTGCGGTCCTTTGTGTATGATATGATAACCCTTTGGCCAATACATTTGCAATATAGCGGCTTCTGGAAGACCATGTACATTTCCGCAGTAGTTGAGTCACTTTTTTCACTTATGCTGTTTATGTTATAATGATGTGCTTCGTTAGGGAAAAGTATTGAATGCTTCCATTGAAGGATGGTCGCGCTGGGCGCACCAGTCTAATAACAACTTACATCAAGGGCAACCGAACAAACAAACATGTAAAGATATAAATATGCCTATCGCTACAGAGGTTAGATACCTTAGATGTCAGAGTATAATGTCTTAAGTTTTACATATATAATATAAATCTTATAAGCTTCACAATTCGCTTCAAATATCTGCACACCTGTGTGCATATGTCTACAAGGATATTAAATGTTGATAGCTTAGTCAATAGCTTGACACTGTCTAGAAAGCTAATACGTTGCCAGACTCATAGTATTTGGTATGACTATAATTTATTTTACGAACGAGGAGTATTATGTTTATTGTTTTGAACTGTGTGTAGATTTTTTTGATTCAACTTTCTGAAATAAATTACCAGTCCGTTTTGGGTTGTTATATGGGGACCTGGACTGCCTTCACTAGAATTTGCGCTGGCGAAATCGGAAACGCCCATTGGATATA